TCCGCAGCCTTTTACATCAGTGAGACACACTCTTTCTGAGACATCGCACCGTGGACATGCAGGCTTTGACCGCCCTTGTTACATCGGCTGAGCGCGCCGGAAAGCGTTTCGACACGCAGTTGTTTACATCGCTTACATCTGTGAGTTTTACAACGTCAGGTGTGTCAGACCGCGGAGTGGCGCATCAACAAGACTGCGGGCACAAACAAGCGTTGTGTGCATCGCTGTGACAGCAGCGGAGTAAATCAGTCTGAAGGGAGATTTCACTGGGCTACAGGTCAGCATGAGGAAGCCATTCTGGGAGCACATGATCTACAACGCCTACCCTTTTGACTCTCTTACAACACTGCTTTACCTTTTGGGTGAGCGAAAGATCGCACTCGCGCAGTTGGACAAGCTGTGCGTCATCGGCTTTCAGCCGAACATCAGGCGCATGATCGCCAGGCTGAGCAAGAATCAGATGAGTACATTTGAGAGAGGATACCAGATCCTCCATCTTCAACACCACTACACGGCAAGTGGCAGTTCGATGAGATTGAGCAGCAGCCGGCGCAAAATCTTGCAAATATGCCAGGACATCTTCAAGAGATTTTCATGGACCTACAGTCTCGCTTGGGCTCATCAACTTGAGTGACCTACAGGCTTCAACAGATGATGAGACAATCCATGCTGCAACGACACAGGTGATGGATTACTCAGGCCTACAGATCCTCAAGCGCATCAGCGCAGCATCACGATGCGGTACTACATCAAGGACATCGAGCGCATCAGGGGACACCAGGATCACCGCACCTGGTTACGCGTCAGCAAGATGAACAACTACAGGGAACAGCTCGTCGCACCGGCAGCAACCATGGACGCGGTTGCAACATCGACTGCGAAGAGGCCAAGGAAGGCGTGAGCGTCACGGTTCATACAACAGCAATTTTGAGGCGACGCATTTTCCGCACTTGAGTGGCACAGTCGAATATCTGCTTGGAACAGTAGCTGAGACTTGCTTTTGACACCACGAACCACAAGAGATTTGTACTGCCTAGTACACACCCAGCTACATCATGTTTTCAACAGTTCAGGAGAATGCGCATGAGACACATTATCCCGAGGAGGTGTGTCAAGATACATGCGTCCCAATGCATCTGGAATGCTGCTTTGTACAATCAAAGCCTTGAGCCTCAACGCAGCTGGAGTAGTTGGCGCATTGCCCGCAGCAAAAGTTACAGTGCTTCGCTTCACTCACAGGTTTACACTGCAGGCATCTAGGTTACACAGTTGCTCCAAGTTTAACATGAATGAATGAATGAATGAATGAATGAATGAAAGAATGAATGAATGAATGAATGAATGAATGAATGAATGAACGAATGAATGAATGAATGAATGAATGAATGAATGAATGAATGAATGAATGAATGAATGAGCGCATAATTGAAACCAGTTCATGAAATAGCCTTCTTGCACCTCCAACACGAACATTGCGCTTTTCAGTGTAAGTGCAGCGCGCGAAGTACACTGGCAACCCTGTCGCATTTCAGGATTGCGGAGGGATTTGTTGTGTTCGCTGAAATGCAAAATAATTAAGCGACGCTTCTTTTCAGGTTGCCCGTATGATAGATTGGTTTTTACACACACTTTTCAAGGGTGTGATACTTGCGAGCGATTCGCTCCAACACAGGCTCGCGCAGCGAGACCTATCTTAATGACCTGGTCGAGGAGTTGTGCCTGCAGTAGCACAGGGCGGGCATCCACATCAACTTGGATTTGCCGCCAGCTTCGTTTGCCGTAATATCCGCAAAAGCGGTCTGCAAGCCTTTTCTAAATGTGTCACACGTCTGTGCACAATCAAAAAGGGACGTGAGCCAAATGTTGCATGGAGATGAACCGGTGAATCAAACACAAGCCAGACACAAATTTCTTTTGATCTCCAGCACTGAATTACCATGTAATCCTTGGCTTCTTGGCCTTCTGCCGTAGCCATTGTTTCATGCCGTAGCCATTGAAATATTTGATTCATTCTTTTTTGCTGCGCAGATGAAAAAGTCCTGGTGACAACGTACTCTTGATAGGAGATACCTAGCTGTATCAAAAAAGGATGCAAAACGCTTTGTACATGCGGGATCGATGCGAAACTATTGATTTCTCACTGAAAATAGTCTTGTTGTCGATGAGGATCAATTGGTCAACCACGCTGAATCTGGTTGAGCAGCACACCATTGTTGCGGTCGCACAGTCATCGAAGTTGTTTACAGGGTGATTCTAGCAACTCTTTGCAACAATGCTTTGGCGCAGGTGATTTTTTTGGGAATTCCGAACACTGCGGCCGCGTGGCGCTGCTTTTGTCCAATGTTGACAAGATTTGCGGGCCTTGCGTAAACAACAAACTTGAGGGAACTTACACAACAACAACTGCAAGAACCATTGCAGGCATGACAGTTGGGAATTGCAGCAAAGCGCTACGGCTCAAGCCGAATCTCCACCGCGGCGAAAGGACAGTCGGACAGGG